TTTTTCTTCTAATTTCGATATTTAATGAGTTAAGTATGATTATTTGGCATTTTATTGATATTGACAAAATCCGACCATCCCAGCGTCGAAACGGCGAACTTTTGGCAAAAAATTTCGTTTTCCCTCAATAACTTCTAAACCGTTGGTCCCACGAGAAAATTGTATATAACCTTTTACAAGATAAACTAGATAAAATTACGTTACAGGACATGTTCTAAGAAACTATGGTGATTTTATTAGCAACTGAATAGCGTACGTAAATAAACACAGCGAGAGGCCAAGGGTCTCAGAAGCTTCAATTCCATTCTTCACAAGCTTAACTCGACAAGATCAGACGTTGTAACGATTACGATTAATACTCCGATAAGCTTTGCAGGCCGCGATTGTCCGTGAAAAACGGTCGCAATATCAGCCGATTTCGTATTCCGCGCGGTTAATACCATAAACGCGTCAGCGTGCTTTCTCTCCATCTAGGGAGGCACGCTCAAAAAATATTCCTGCGCACAGGCGCTTTTTTCCCATCCTCCTCCTCTCTCGCGATTGCGTTCGCCATCCCTGTACTTGTCTCGGCGGCTATAGACAGAGCCCGCGGCATTTTCTATTTATTAAATATACGCGGGCACGCATAACACGCAGTCCACTCGCTTCCGGAGAGAGCAGCGATACTTGCTGCAGCTGCGCGCGCGTCTATGCACGTGTGAGCGCACGCTAATAGCGAGTAAAACGCGCGCCCGTGGCCCGTTTATGGGCATGAAAGTCCTCGATCTCGGCGAACGCGACGATCTATCGATCCTTCAGATGAGCCCGACAGCGACAATCGGTGAAAAGAGCTTTACTATACAACGACAGTGAGATAAGTACTGCACCAACTAGAATTTCGTCTCTGCGGCCATTTATAGGCAACATTCTTATTATAGTGAATTTTACTTTGCGATATGAGACATTGGAACTTTTTTTTACGGATACACAATGCTTGAATATGCAGCTCAACTAGTTTCGTTCCTTTCGTCGAACATTCGTGCGAAGGTAAAATACCGTAAAAGAAAAGAATAATAATTTATTACACTAGATGAGATCGAGGATAGATTGATCCTCTTGATCTATTACGTTGCAACGTCACAGTGATCGAGATTACGGGAATCGATATCTAAGCGCGCTACGCCAAGTCGTTTCAAGGATAATAAATGAAACAAAGAATATAGACCAGGAGAAAAATATAGAAAAAAAAAAGCAGCAATCATGATCAATCGCAATGAATTCAATCGACGTTTCTCTCCTTTGTGCGACTGTTACGAGGGGTGCATGAATGGATCCGAGTAATTTCTCTCTTGAAAGATCGTACGAATTGATCCTCGTGATCTTAATCGACAGGCTCCGGGGCACAGGGTGCAACGCATAATTGATTTAAGCTCGCAACGAAACGCTTTTAACGCTGATTCGCGAAGTGTATGCGCGGCATTGCATTCATTGTGTAATTTTGGAACACTTCCTGCTTGAGCTGAATGATAAGCATTGCGATTCTTTCAAATTGATCTCTGGACTTAGTCTTTGCGCACTTACGTGCACATTCCATTTTTTATATAATTTTTATGTGTCCTTTGCTATTGTAGCTGCAGCTATAGTGTTTCCAGTGTTTCGTGGGACACCTAGTATATGAAACTATGAAAAAATTAAATTGCTCTTGCTGCCGCCATAAGCACCACGCGATGCGGCGCCTCGTATCGCTATGCCTGGCAGCACTTTTCACGATAATTAACTCTGGTCTTTAACCCAGTCACGTGATACTCGTTAGTTGTTATTCTATTCGTATGGTCGACCTCGAGCTAATCGTAAGAATAGCTTAGGAAAGTCGAAGAGCTTCGCATAACAATGACTATACGCGTTGCGAACGCGTCATAACTCCTTGTTTCCCGATAGCTCTGCAATTAGTTAGCTTAGGGAAGAAGGCTACGCGATAATAAGGAACATACGACGTCCTCTTCGATTAGTGGACGACGGAATTACAAAACGATGCGACGGTTCACTACGTTGGAATTTTACTCGAATATGAGATGAAAAACGTCTGAGTATGGAATTGGACGATGGCCGCTGTTAAGCAACACGACGGGATTTATGAAAAGTCGAAACCCGCGCGTTCGAATATTTAATTAATAGCTCGTCGTAACGTTTGATAACTAGGATGTTTAATTTATCATAACTTTTGAACGGGAATTCAAGTTTACTATCTTTGCTTTTTTCCTTTTCGTAATAAGTTGAGTGTTGTTATGGCT